CAGAACGGTGGGAGGGAGCGGAGAAATGGCAGATCGAGCTCCGGCTAAGAGATGGAGGAGGAGAAAATGCAAAAAAATTTCCACCCTAGAGGAAAGAAGAACCTCACAAGGAGGGAGAGAGTGGGAAGAAGTCTCCCAAGAGTTATTTTGCAGAAAATAAAAGAAAGAGGGGGAAGAGGAGAGAGGCAGCCCGAGAGAGGCCAGAGCCCCCCCAAAGCAGCAGCCCAAATGGAAACCCTAGGAGAGAAAGCTAGAGAGAGAAACTGTGGGTCTTAACACCAACACGTTCAATTGGACTCACTTGTTTGAGGGGAAAAATATGCTTTTTTTTATGAAACTTTGTATCTCCATTATATCAAAATAATGTGATGATGATATGTTATAATTAAAATGCATCTTTTTTTCTTTTTTTTTACAAAATTAATAAAAGATCGGATCAATCTATTCTAGCAGTATCATAAGATCTCCAAAAGAGATAAACAACATCTATAGAAGAAAAGATCCAAGCCTCCATGAAGAAGGAGAAAATGCCTCTCATAAGGGAAGAAAACGACCTCCACACAGGAAGGGATAATTATTACATCAACAAACTAAAAATTAAAACACTAAATAGAGAAAGAAAAAAAAAAATCCAAGTTACCACCGAACTCATCCAACACTCTATTACTTTGCAACCTTTAACTTGGAATCTAAAGGCTGCCTATCCGCTAGTCAAGATAGAATATTGAGATTGAGGTGATCGCTTAGCGTAAAACAAACGTGTTATCCAGCGTCAGCCTTCAGACTATAAGAATATTTGAAACCAGATCTTAAAGTTTTGAGTTTGAAGGTAGAGAATGCAAGGTGGTGATGGTCAAACTGATGAGACAAACATCAAATCTGGATTAAAGACCAAATCTGAAGGAGGATCAAAGGAAAAGAAAGGGAGAGGAGAGGGAGATTGGAGAGGTAGAGGAACCACTACCGTCTCCTTCTCCCTATAGGAAAATCTAGAGAGAAAAATAAGATAAGAGTTTTAAAGTTTAGGGAGAGGCTTCACCATGTCTTCTAGAAAATAATAAATGGTAAATAACATACATCTTTATTGGGTTCTATATTTTAGTGGGTTCTATACAAATATATATATATATATTTGATATGTAGATAAACTACTCTATATATCTGTCAGGAAGTATTGCTCCTTAGCACCACACGACAATCTACAAGAGATCCCACCGCACATATGTCGGGGATGAAATTAAGATCCACCACGTACTCTGGGTGCTAAGGTCTAACCCTACCAAGCCACTATAGAAACTCAAAACTAAGTTGTGTAATAAAATTTGAGTTTTTACCACTACACCAATCACTCACTGGTTGTATTCTAAAGTTTTGGATCATTAATCCAATCTCTTTATTTCCATAAATATTTTGGATAATACTATATAAATGGAATTTTTAATACAATTGTTTTATACAGAATATCAATCTTTTATGATTATTTCATTTTAAAACAAAACACTTATTATTATAACTCATTATTGTAAGAATGTCATTATTATATCATTTTAATTTTGTTTTAGGTATACAAATTTTATTTGTAAATTACTTTTTCAATTTTTTTCATTTAAAAATAAATAAATTTGTATACCACCATTACAGACAATGATATATTAACCTTTTTGAGCATTAAAGTAGGTGCTATGGTGGTTGGCCCTGCTTTCCTCAGCATTTTTATTGCTTTATCTTCAAACTCTTTCATTCGACCACAAAAATACCAACAAAGAAAAAGAGAAAAGAAAAGAAAATAAATAAAAGAATAGAAAGCCCAGGAGATATTTACAAATGATCAATTAGGACCATCCAATACTACTGTTAGTCGTCATCATCACCATTATCGTCAGTCATCATTTTAATTCTTTATTTTATATAATAAATTTAAAAACAATATCTCCTCCCATCTAGTAATTGAGTTGGGAGATTGTGTGCTCTACTCTTGGGTTTGTTTATTCGATTTTTAAATGTTCATGTTTTAGGAGAGTAGATCATTCTTTTAAAAAATTAGATAAATCAAGCATAGTAATTATATGATTAATTAACATTAATCTTTAAAAAAAATGATGACTATAATTTCAAAAATAGACTATTTTTTTTCATTTTCTATTTTTTTTTTTAAATCTCAAATGTAATATAACTATAGGACAATTATATTCATATATAAAATTGATGCAAGAAATTTCACAAGAATGATGTGACAATATCATTGTTGTAAATAAATTCATCTTTAGCCTCGTGTGGGAACATGCTATTTTAGTAATTTTTTAGCTAAAATATGAGGTAAAAAAACTAGTATGATTGGGGTGATTTTTTGGCTTTTTATGAAAAAATGTGCAAAAAGTAGAAAGAAAAAAGAATCTTTGACTTTTTAGTATAAGTTATAGGCTTTTTGACTTTTTTAGTAACTTTTTGACTTTTTGACTAAAATGTTAACTTGCCAAACGAAGCCTAAGATATTTTGTTTTGAAATGAAAGTTTCACAATGAACCACATTATTATGTATAAAAATTATATATGAATTTTTTGTTTGTATAATATTACTCATAATTGTATAACTATTAATATCCTATCAACTTGAACTAAAAGATAAATGATTTCTGCTATCAAAATAAATCGAAAATAAACTTAAAGCTCTCAATCGGATTTTCAGTTTATTTGGTGCAACTTAGGCCTCATTTGGGAACATGCTATTTTAGTAATTTTTTGGCTAAAATATGAGGTAAAAAAACTAGAATGTTTGAGGTGACTTTTTGACTTTTTACGAAAAGATGTGCAAAAAGTAGAGAAAAAATGAAATCTTTGACTTTTTGGTATAGGTTATAAGCTTTTTGATTTTTTTAGTAATTTTTTTACTTTTAAGCTAAAACGACTACTTGCTAAACGAGGCCTTATTATAAGTTAAAAACTAATAATTAAAAAATAAAAGTTAAGAGTATTATCTAATTTTCAGATAATCAACTATTTTCAACTTACTAAAATTATTTTTATATAACAAATTGTAAATAGAAACTTCATTAGACAGTATAAGAGAAGAGTCTTTCCACCCTACACACCCCATATCATACACACCGTTTTTGAGATAATTTCATAACTAAAAAGATACAATGAATCATATCTAAAGACTTCTTCTGTCATAATTAAAATAATAATAACAATAGGTCATACCTAAAGCGTAACCAAAGACCTAACAATTACAAGAAGTCATAATTCATTTATTTTTTATAACTCATTATCCAGTTCATTGAATCAACTAATTCTAAAGATCAATCCCACAATTCACTAACGGGGCCCAATTAAATCTGGGGCTAAACCCCATATGAACAAACCTAAAAAATTGTTTACACTTAAGAAGTTTTGAACTTGAAATTTTGGAGGGAAAACACCCCCAGACCTCAAGACTTGACTATTATAATTAAAACATAATCAACATCCCAATAAATCACAAGACATGCTACACAACATTAAAATTTCCCCTAAAAAATACTCCAATTAAAATAAATTATAAATACAATAATGTTACATCTACCGAATTTAAGTTCGCTCAAATTTGTACATATTGATTGTTCAACAGATCATTTGAGAGGATGTCAGTCGTGTAAGCGGATATCAATTGACACACCAATCGAAATGGTAATAATTACGATTGATAAGAATAATATTTATCATCCAAACAATCATCTGACTACATTCAAATAGAATTGCTCCTACTTCAGTGAACCAAATATTTTTCATATAAATAATTAAGGAAAATTGTATGAAAAGGTCCTCTCCAATCCAATTAGTTTAGTGGGGAGGAGCCATATCAGGTATATTATTAATAAAAGTTTCAATATAGTGGAAATGGACGTTTCCTCGTTTCTCTGCTGTTTGTATCTTCTGACACACTTTGAGGCAGCTTTTTTTATTTATATATATTTATTTATTTATTTTTTAATATGTAAGTGTATCAAATATACACACATACATACCCATCTACATCTCTCTGTGTCTCTCTCTCTCTCTACAGAGTTCATTGTAAGGAGGATCACCAAAGGGAAGAGGAGTCAGGCTGCATCAAATGATTTGGAAAGGAAGGTCAAATCAGTGAAGTTCCCTTGTTTAGATCTTCTCTCTCTTAGTTACCTTCACACAAAAGCCCCTCCCCTCTATAAAAATAAAAAAAACAGAGAGATGGAAATACAAAGAGCCGAGGGAAGGGGGGTCACCAAGAAAATCAAGAACTTGTACATTTGATATCAATTCACAGGTCTCTTTACTTCATGTCCTCTTTTCTTTTTTCTTTTTTTCTTTTTTTTTTATGAAAAAAAGCCTAATTATGAAAGGGTGATTTTTGAGAGAGACTCTAATATAGTAAAGACCTCAAAAATCACTCATAAATAGTACTATAAAAACTATTTATCATGTAGCAGTAGAAAGAGTGATAAATGACAAGTTTCTATACAAAAATCAATTATATCATCCAATATTAAAATTTGCGTTTGGTTTTGTGAAGTTATTTAGTGTAATTTACGAAGTTATATATATATATATATATTAATAATGTTAGAGGAATTTAAAATTTTACAAACTTCATTAAATAGTATGTAAAAATTTAAGTGCTTCTAGGATTGTTCCCTTTATTTTGAAAAATTATGTCAAAATAAGTACTTGTATGTTACAAGGAAATAATTTTATTTATAAACAGAGGTTTTAATTTTTGTTTTTTAATTATCACCCCTTAGCTCGTTTGAAATTGTACCAAGCAAGCCGTGAGAAAGGTTTCGGTATATTTAAGAAAAATATCATTTTAGTAAAAAGTAAAGAAATTACATAAATTCAGTGTAAAATGTTATAAAGTTTTTCTCTAATATTTTTTTTCTCACTAAAATTATATATTTTCTGTTAAACTTTACAATAAATGAGTGAATAAAGATGGATATCTTTTTGTAAGACTTTTGAGCTCCATCTCTCTCTCTCTCTCTCTCTCTCTCTCTCATTATTCCCTTTTCAAGTGAGAGAATTGCAGGGATGATATTAGCCTGACAAAGCCCTTCACACCCAAGTGAGGAAGACACTTATAAATCCATAGTTATTCATAGATGTATATATATATCATATCATCATATGCAATAATCAACATATATATATAGATGTATAGACATGTGGTATGGTTTTTGTGTTTTGATGTTTCTTTCTCCTAGTATATTTTAGCCTTAAACTTGCATGATCATACTCTCTCTCTCTCTCTCTCTCTATAGTTCTTTGATGAGCTTAAACTAAAATTCTTCTTTGCAGATGATGATCGCGAAGCACGTGCACACTCAGATTTCCATCATTCAAGGTAGTAATCATACAAAACCATATAATATAACCCAATTCCTCTCTCTCTCTCTCTCTCTCTCTCCATATATATATAAATGGTCATTTCTTCAAAACCCATGTCTTCTTCTTTAGTATACACCATGGTTGAAGATCAAAAAGCAGAGATAGAGAGATGGGTTGTTGTATACAGCTATGGGATTACCAAGTTGTGGCTTAATTTTTTGGTTCATCAAGTAATTTTCCCCTTGATTTTCCAGGATTTATCTGAGAAGAAGAAGAAGACTAGTACTACAGTAGCTCCAAAATTCCCAAGAAAATTAGCAGCTTTCTGGGCAGCCAAATGGGTTAATTTCATTCAACACCCACTTTCATATCGTCAACAGGTACTTGACTTGAACTGATATATCTTTACATATTTGTAGAGAGAGAGGGGGAGGGGGGGGGGAGAGAGAGATTGGGATGTGATGAATGCTAACGTAGTCCCTTTTCAGTGACAGAAGAAGATTGTGTGAATTGATATATAAATATTTATATATTGATATTGAAAGAAAGATCGATGGCGACATACTTTCATGGGAATTCCGAAATCCAAGGAGATCATGGTTTACAAACCCTGATTCTGATGAATCCAAGCTACGTCGGATACTCCGACACCAACCCACAACAACAGCAACACCACCACCATCAGCCGCCACCGGGAAACTTCGTTTTCCTCAACTCCACCGCCGCCGCCGGAAACTCTTTCAACCCACAAAATCTCCCCCACGCGCCACCCAACCAAACCCAACAGTTCGTTGGCATCCCGCTTCAGGCCGTGACTTCTGCCGGCGGCTCCGCCTACTCCCAAGACATCTCGGCCCTCCACGGCTTCAATATGTATAGTTCAATTGACCCCACAGCGGCGCGTGACATTCCACGCGCTCCTCAAGGTCTGTCTCTCAGCCTGTCTTCTCAACAGACCACCCACGTTTCTGCACCGACAATTCCACCGGTTACCGGAGAGGATATCCGGGTCTCGGGCGGGTCACCGTCGTCAGCATCGGGGATTTCGAACGGTGTTAATGGAGTTCAGAGTGTGTTGTTGGGATCTAAGTACTTGAAAGCAGCTCAGGAGCTTCTTGATGAGGTTGTGAATGTTGGAAAAGGAGTCAAGAATGCCGGAGAATCATCGGCGACAGCAGTGGCCGGAGAAAGTGGCTGTGGAGGAGAGACAAGTGGCCAACGGCACGGCGAGCTGACGACTGCGGAGAGACAGGAGATTCAGATGAAGAAAGCAAAACTTGTCAACATGCTTGATGAGGTAAAAAAATGACTATAAATTTGTTTATGGGTATGTTTAGTTTTCATGAAATTAGAGAATCTCAAAGTTCAAATTTTCACCAAAACATTGTCTCGAGAAACTCTCTGAAGTTGTGTACATCTTGCCTTTCATATATTTTGATTTAGCGAGAATCTCATGGTCTGGCTCGCATTTTTTTTTTCCCATTAAACTAGAGTAAAATTTTGTTTTTTTAATGTACTTTTTCACTTTGAAGTCCCCATGATCAAAACTTAGTTTTATAGTGTTTTTTCAATGGGTTTTTGATGCATTTATTATCATCATGATGTTGAAGGATCTCAATTTCAAATTTCACATAACGACCTCTACTGAAACTGTACAAGACTGCATACATTTTACTTTTCACAGATCTCGATTAGCGAGGATCTTGCACACTAGTACCTTTTTTTCATGAACTTGAAACTAAAAAGTCATTCCATTTATGTTATTTTTTCACATTGAACCCTTGATTTCAAATTGTAAAGTCTTTCCATTTATGTTATTTTTTTCACATTGAACCCTTGATTTCAAACCTTACAATTTTATCTACTATTTTTTTTCAAAATAATTTGCTTTAAATATAGATTTTTAGTGATATAATTGAACACTTCAAGTTTAAACAGAGCTCAATTTTTTGAAATCTATTCCATTTTTGCTCTGTTATCAACATCTAATTCCAATCCTTCTTTTCTTTTTCTTCCCTCAAATTTGGGTATTGAAGGTGGAACAAAGGTACAGACAATACCACCATCAAATCCAGATTGTGATTTCATGGTTCGAACAAGCAGCAGGCAATGGCTCAGCAAAAACATACACAGCGCTTGCGCTGCAAACAATCTCAAAACAATTTCGATGCCTCAAAGACGCGATCACAGGCCAAATTCGATCATCAAGCAAGAGCTTAGGCGAAGAAGATGGCTTTGGAGGAGGCAGGAACGAGGGTTCGAGGCTTAGATTTGTTGATCATCAGCTGAGACAACAGAGAGCTCTGCAACAGTTGGGAATGATTCAGCCCAATGCTTGGAGACCTCAGAGAGGATTGCCTGAGCGTTCTGTTTCTGTTCTTCGCGCTTGGCTCTTTGAACACTTTCTTCATCCGTAAGAAGACATAGAATTTTCCAAAACCCATTTGAAATTGAAATCTTTGTTGGAATTTGGAATTTACAGTAGTTTTAAATCTGTTTTTGTCTGAAAATTTTTCAGGTATCCTAAGGACTCGGACAAGGTTATGCTTGCAAAACAAACCGGGTTAACTAGGAGCCAGGTACCCTTTAGATTCCTTGTTTTCTTGGGCATTTCCTTGTTTTCTTACAATTTCAATGGGTTTTTAACGCTTTCGCTTTCTGTTTTTTGTGTTCATTTTTTTTTTTTTAAATTGAAAATGAAACTTGTTTGGTGTATTTTTTGGTTTTCTAAAAATTAATTAATTAATTCCATTAAAAAAAGGGAAATGTTTTCACTTATTTTAGAAACACATTTTCACTCACTCCTTTCTTCCCCCACCACCTTCGGCCCATCCACCCTCGCCACCGGTTAGCCAGCTACTGGTAATATCTAGCCAGCTCCAACAACCTTCTAGTGACTCTTCGGTAATCGACTGGTCACGACTTTGACCTCCGGTCACTTCATGGCCTCCAAGAGCACTCCGATCACCAACTCTTATAATCACCTCTAGCTATCTCTGTCCACCAATCATCACATTCATCTACCCTCCACTGTTGGTTAACACCTCTCACAATTCACCAGACATGTTTCTCTATTTTTATTTTCATTTATGTTCAAAATATTTTTGTCAAACAAAAATTTTTTTTTTTGAAGCTTTCTAATTTTTTTTTTTTTTTTTTGCAAAAAAAGAAAAAAAAAACAAAAAATTGTTTATTTATTTATTTTTGCAAAGAGAACATAGGAAAGCAACGACATTAACAAACAGCCCCTCGATGGGTTCTCATGTTTAAATGTGTTTTGTGATGATTAGGTCTCAAATTGGTTCATAAATGCTCGTGTTCGACTTTGGAAGCCAATGGTGGAAGAAATGTACATGGAGGAGGTGAAGGAACAAGAACACAATGGATCAGAAGACAACAAAACAAGCAGAAGCGAAAACAATGAAAACTCACCATCAAAATCCAATCCTGCACAAAACACAAGTCCTGTAACCGAGAACCAAAACAGAGCATTCATTTCCAAACAAAACAATCCCACAAACCACAACACTCCTCCATCATCAATCTCAGTTTCCACAGCTTCACCCTCTCACACCAGACTAAACATCCGAAACCAACCTGGTTTCACTCTCATTGGATCACCAGAAATTGAAGGAGTCACGCTAAGAAGTCCCAAGAAACAGAGGAGCTCTGAATTTTTGCAATCCAATGAGCAGGTTCCGATGAAATTTGATGATGAGAGGCAAGGGAGAGATGGTTTCGCATTCATGGGAGGGCCCGCAAATTTCATTGGCGGATTTGGATCGTACCCAATTGGCGAAATAGGGCGGTTTGGTGGGGAACAGTTCCCGGGAACTTATTCTGGCAATGGTGTATCTCTCACTCTCGGTCTCCCACACTGTGAAAGCCTGTCCATGCCAGGAACCCATCAAAATTTTCTCACTAACCAAACAATCCAAATGGGGAGAAGAGTAGAAATTGGTGAAACGAATGAGTTTGGGGCTATTAACACTCCCACATCGTCTCATTCAACAGACGTGTATGAGAACATCAATTTGCAGAACCGGAAGAGGTTTGCAGCCCCGTTGCTTCCAGACTTTGTGGCCTAATTGAAAAATCCAATGAATTGAGAGACGGAGAAAGGAGAAAGGTTGAGGTAAGACTGAGAAATCGAGGTCTCTTTTCACTATTTTCATGGGTAGTGTAGAGGATGAAGAAGATTTACTTGGTATAGGGTTTTTATACTTTTGCATTGAACCATTTGAGTTCTTATAGATAGTTTTAGGATTTTAGAGGATGTGGTTGAGGATTGTATATTGTTTTTGTTATTTTTGCAAATGAATAGATGGATTGTTGTAATGAACATGAAAGATTTGATTTACTTTAATTTGGGTGGGGGTATAGAAATGAATATTGATTCTAAGATGATAATGTGTGTTCTATCATACGAAGATTAGAGCAATAACCATTATTTTGGGATTGTGTTATGTATATACATAACATCTAAGCTAAGTTGATATGTGTGAAGCAATGCGAGTGGATGGTTATTGAGCTAACGCTAAACAAAAATGCTATGAATACATAATTTTTTTACAATATATATATATATATATATTAGCGTATGTCTGTGTTTGAAGATATGGTATAAATAATGTTAGGATTAAAATATAATTGTAATCCTAATACTATTTAAATTTATTTTTTAATTTGATTAATTCACAAATTTATTATAAAATTTTAGAGTCCTCATAAAACTTCTCACGAAAACTCGTTTTTGCTTATACAATATATAACAAGATAGATAAATGTATCTGGCATACATACAATTTTTACGAGTATACATACAATAATGCTTTTGCTTATATAATTATATGAAAATTGTATGTATGTTCATAATGTCCTAGTGTATTATGGGCATGCATACATTGTATGAAAATATGTGAAAAATATATTGAACAAAAAGGAAAAAATTGAAAAATAAACAAATAGGGAAAAAAATAACAATCGGAGAAAATAAAAAAATAAAATGGAAAGAGGGAGGAAGGTGGGATCATGGAAGGATGGGTGAGAAAATGAAAAAGTAAGAGAGAGAAGAGAGAAAATAGAAAATGTACATGTAAAAGATTTTTTGAAAAATATATCTCAGCCATTGTTTTAAAGTTTAAACAGATCTGAGTCATCCAAATGTCATAGTAGAACAAAAATATGTTGAAGATTCAAAAACCGTCATACTTTATTAAAATATGTTGAAATTCATATGAGATCTAAATTTATAAAGTCTATTATGTATTCAATATATTTAAAAATAATAATTAATTGTTCAAATTCATTTAATTTGTGAACTGTAAAATTCATTAATTTAATCTCCACAACATAGAGTAAAATTTGGCACTTAATTCTAAAAATAGGAGAAAATAAAAAAATAAAAAGAAAAGAGAGAGGAAGGTAAGATCATGAGATTATAGAAGGATGTGTGAGAAAAGAAAAAAATAAGAGAGAGAGAGAAGCGGGAAAATAGAAAATGTACATGTAGAAGATTTTTTGAAAAATATATCTCAGCCGTTGTTTTGTAAATTGAATAGATCTGAGCCGTTCAAATATCCTAGTAGGACAAATATGTGTAGGACAAATTCAAAAATCGTCTTGCTTTACTATATAGATTTCGAAATTCATATGAGATTTAAATTTATGAAGTCTATCATGTATTCAATATATTTAAAAATAATAATTAATTATTCAAATTCATTTAATTTGTGGACTGTAAAATTCATTAATTTAATCTCCACAACAAGATTTTTTGAAAAATATATCTCAGCCGTTGTTTTGTAAATTGAATAGATCTGAGCCGTTCAAATATCCTAGTAGGACAAATGTGTGTAGGACAAATTCAAAAACCGTCTTGCTTTACTATATAGATTTCGAAATTCATATGAGATTTAAATTTATGAATTCTATCATGTATTCAATATATTTAAAAATAATAATTAATTATTCAAATTCATTTAATTTGTGGACTGTAAAATTCATTAATTTAATCTCCACAACACAGAGTAAAATCTGGCACTTAATTCTGGGATCGTAAATTTTTCCATATAATATGAATAAAAAATAAGAGAACAAAAAGGAGAAAATAAAAAAAATTTAAAAAAAAACAATTAGAGAGAAAAATAAAAATGAGAGAAAATAAAAAAATAAAAAGGAAAGAGAGATGAATGTGGGATCATGAGATGATAAAAGGATGGGTGAGAAAAGGAAAAAGTAAGAGAGAGAATCAAGAAAATAGAAAATGAACATGTAGAATATTTTTTGAAAAATATATCTCAGCCGTTATTTTATAAATTGAACAGATCTGAGCCGTTCAAATATCCTAGTAGGACAAATGTGAGTAGGATAAATTCAAAAATCGTCATGCTTTATTATATAGATATATATATATATATATTTTAAATAGAAACCCATCCTTATGTGATCGTCTTATGAATTTATGCAAGAGCAAATAAGATCAACTCATGTTTCGAAAACCATTCTGTGAATGGTTCATGTGCAAATAGCATAAACATCTGGCAATATCATGCGCACATATAAATATCGATGTAAAGATGAGACTTAAAACAAATCTAAATCACATATTTTTTCGTGCACCTAACTTCTCTGTTTTGAATTGCCTTAATATATACAGAAATGATCAAGGTTCATGCCCTATAGATTTAGACAGGTGGTTTGTTGGTTGTTTGTTCAGATGAACATTAATTTCCTAGGAAACTCATTGTTTAATACCTATATCTCTCACATTAAGTACAATTTTCACTGCTGTCTATTTAGCAAGGATCCTCTAGAGTTTTTTTTTTTTTAAGTTTCTTAGAGTGGTGTATTGTGTGGTTGAGATTTAATGACAAGTCACATTAATTTTTCAGCATTAAATCTCAACCACACAATACACCACTTTAGAAAATTTTAGAAAAAAAACACTCTAGAAGATCCTTGGTGCGGTCTATTTAGTTTTTGTCAGTAATGTCACCAACATTCATTTTCTATTCCCCTATCTACAAGGACAAGTATAACCCATACATAAAAAATAAATAAATACAAATAAAAGCACATAAATCGATCATAGAAACACAGATCGCTGCATGCATAATTGGCAAGATAGCCTTGCTGGTTAACATATACAAAACCAACCAAACAGAGATTGTGTGGAAAAAGAAAAACAACAAGATCAAGGTTCAGTAACCTGCCCTACCAATCCCCATACCAGGCTACCATTCACTTAAAAAAAAAATTTAAAAATAGTATTTTCCATATAATAAAAAATATTTGATTTCATTTTTGGCAACTAAAGTGTCGGTCTTAGTCGCCAAAAGAGTGTTATATTTTTAAAAAAAATTAACTTTCAGCACAGTTTATATTTATATATATGTATATATATATATATATATATATATAATACATTTATTCCTTCATTTCTCAAACATTCAACCAAAAACAAAAATCCCGCAACCTATAGCCTATGTAGATACATAATGGGAGTGTTTGTTTCAGCTTTTCAGAGCTAACTTATGCCTTTTAATTTTGAAAAAGTTATTTTGGACTATTTGGTTAAACTTATTTCAAATAGCTTCTGATTCTAACAGCTTATTATAACTCAAAAAAGCTGATTCTGAGAAGCTGCTCACCCCTTGCTTCTGATTATCAGCTTCTGCTGTGGACATGTTAATTTTTTATTCTACTCTTAAATTTTTTTTTATTTTTTATTTTTAAAAAATAGAAAAAGACCCAAATGGACTATAGATTATTATTATTATTTTTTATGAGAAATGTAGACAAACAAAAAATAAAAATTAATTGAAGAAGCTATTTCACAGCTTATTTAACAAACACTACTCAGCAACTTAAATCTATAATCCAACAGTTACACCAAACAGATTAACAACTTTTGATTAAAGTCATAATCTATAATCTGTTAAGTTATAATCTATAAACTGTTTTAACAGCCACACCAAACGGGGCCAATACATCTATCCATTCAACTATCCAATCCAAAAGATATTTAACCATCAACTTTACATTTCAAAGAATTTAAAAATCCATACAAATAAAATACAATCAACCATATAAGTAAAGGGTGGTTTGAGATGATCTAAATAAGTGTATTTTTTATTTTTTTATGAAATATGAGTTGTGTTTGAAGTGATATGGTAGAGAGGTGATGTGACTTAAATAAGATGATGTGATAGAATAGTGACTTTTTGACTTTTTAGGTTATGAAAAACAAGACCTAAGTCTAAAATGAATAAAATAAAGGGGGACTTACGGGTCGGTCCTATTGACGAGATTTATTTACCTGTAAGTCCTACTCACCTTTTCACTCTTAATATCCCCAAAATATCCTTCTGACACCTCCTTCAACAACTCAATCATCAAATCACTGCCATGACCTACCACCTCCCACTTCTAGCCATCGACGAGTACTTCCAATCGCCGGTGATAACCTCCGACAACCTCCGACGCCCAGATCTGATGGCGACAGGAGAAGGAGAAGGAGAATGAGAGAGAGAGAGAGAGAGAGAAGATGAAGATGAAGATGAAAATGAAAATGAAAAGGAAAGGCCTTAGTCGTAGATCAACATAACCATACCTTTACCATCTGCTATTTGTTCTCTTTCCAGTAATAAATTTATCACTGATAGATTGACCCACCCAACATATTCACATCTACAATGACAAAATCAGTGGTAAATTCATCACTGTATAAATATAAAAAAAAAAAAATCAACAACAGTATACAACATATTCAACAAATTAATGATAAATTTATCACTAACTGTTTGTTAAAAAATTACAAAAAGAAAATCTCATCTTCATCGTCTCAAATTAACACAAGATTTAAAGACATATTCAACAATAAATTTAGCAGTGATAAACACATTGATAATTTCTCACTAGTTGTTTGTTAAAATATTACAAAAAAAAAAATCTCGTCATCATCGTCACAAATCAACACAAGATTCAAAGAAATATATCAATGATACATTTATCACTGATACAGCAGATTTGGTTTAAGAAAAATAAAAAGAAAGAGAAGGAGTGAGGAAGAGAGAGGTGATAAATATAACATGAACAAAAATCAGTGATAAATTTATCATTGTATTAATATCAAAATTCTAGCAGCAGCAGTCTACAACATATTAAACAAATCAGTGATAAATTTATCATTGAATTAAGTGATAAATTCATTAAATTAGTTCAGCATGTTTTATAAATGTAAATCTTCACCAACACACTGTAGAAAGAGTCTCGATCTCATCAGTGACCATATAAAGTATTAGATTGGCGCCGAAGATGGTAGATCGGCATTGAAAACAACTAGATTTGAAGTCATTGGTGAAGTTTGATGTTGAAGATGGTGGATCGAGGATTGAAGAAGA